CGGTTAATAGTACCAGTCCTATGTTGGTTAACAAGACTTCGTGTGCGTCCGGTGTGCATCTCATGCTTGGCTATGCCGATCTTTACTCCCAATTTGAGTATTCTTAGCAGTGATGTGGACACGTTGCTCCAGAAATTCTCAGAACCTTCTATATATATAAAAATGAACTGCGTACCGCCAGAAAAAAAAAGCCCCTGTGCTGTCTTCATTTATAGGTCAAACAGCGCTAGATGAAGGATGTATTTAGTATCACTTTTCACAACATATTCGTGGTACTCAATTTTTGGGAGCCCCACAAAGGAGCTAAGATAATCGCATAAACCCCCCCCCCCCACCCGCGCACGCACGCGCGCACACACATACACGCACGCACACACATACACGCACGCACGCGCACACGCATGTACGCGCGCGCGCACACATACACACACATATCCTTTCCTCTCTCTCTCTCAAATACTTGCTCACGGACGTAAACAAAGATACACCCACACATTGGTTGGAAAAAGAGTTGAACACACGCCGACAAGGCCGGTGAACAAGAGGTTCTGGGCCACCAGGAAATCAAGTGTGCCTCATGTGTACACTGATCAACAAGACAACTCAATGCACCCACATGTATCAATCAGACCGTGTACGCCCATGCCACGGCCCACGACACCCTGCAAAGGTACCACGTAAAGCCACCAGACGCTGGATTGTTTTGCCAGGTGGTAAGTAGGGCCAGGCGATGGAACTGCGGCCGTCGAGAACAGAAACGCCAGGCCTGTGCCATCGTTTGTTCCCGGTGCTGGATTTAGACACAAGCTAACTATGCTACAACAGGGCCTCCTAATCTGTAAATGCCTCAACAAATTCATATTTTTTTGTTCACAGATGCAATTTTCTTTTAACGGATCAATTAAAAGGATTACATAATATAAGATGTATGATCTTGCACACTCTTTACGATTTCTTTTTTTTTCAATAATAATTAACGACAAGATATCATCCTTAAATTTTCCATATATTCAAAAGGCGGTTATATTTTAGAGGTTTGCATAGATTAGCTTGTAATTAAAAAAAAACAACAGCAGGGGCATCAGGACTATATCTTCGGGCCTCAGCAAGTTTAAATCGGGCCTTGCGTGGGCCGTACGCAGTTTATGAGGTGTAAACATCATCATCTATCATCACAGAATACCAGGCAACTGAATGTGCCCTGACTCGGCTACCTGTCATGTATTGTCCAGATACATAGAATTTCTAAACATATGAATATTTACAAGTACACTGGTAAAGTCTTTCTTTCATAGCTTCTGAAGAAGGCTTTGTGCATGTCCGGAAGTCTGTAACGTGTGTCTTGAGAGACAAATCCGGAAACTAGAATGTCAAGGATAATAATAGGGGGAAAACACAGCCCAACTCATTGTTGTAATCATTCGCGAATATCTGTGTATTTGATCTCCTCCGAGCAGATGCCTAGAAGTTGGAAGTAGGGCTGTCCCGAATATTCGCTTCGTATTTGCTTCGGGGCCGAATAGTGGACCTAATAATTATTCGGTATTCAGCCGAATAGTTGCGGTCGGGCCGAACACGAATAGTGGTTACCTTACACCCGTTTCTGGACTGGTGGAAAATGAACATATCAAGATTTTTCACGTTGGTTCACACTGCGTTACTTTGTGCACCACCTACGAGCGTACCGAGAGAACGTCTGTTTAGCACAGCTGGAAATACCTTCAGTGAGACAAGAAGCTGCCTTAATGCTGACAACATGGAACGATTGTGTGTGTGTGTGTGTGTGTGTGTGTGTGTGTGTGTGTGTGTGTGTGTGTGTGTGTGTGTGTGTGTGTGTGTGTGTGTGTGTGTGTGTGTGTGTGTGTGTGTGTGTGTGTGTGTAAAAGCTAATGCTTTCTTGCTTGCTACATACATCCAGTTTGAACATATGGCTGGGAGTTCTGGTAGGCAGACCAAACAATTTCTGGAGGACTGGAGACAATCATTTTTTCGGCCATGTTATAAGATGAGGGAAAATGGAACATGTGGTGACCCCTGGAAAGATCTGTGGAAGGAGGGATAGAGGAAGACAACGAGAGAAAATGCTTGACAGTCTTGTTGCATGGCATGGAGGTGTGTCAGCACACGAACTGATAAGGCTGCAGGAGATCGCAGATTGTGGCAAGGCATGATCGCTCATGCCAGTCGGCAAAGCACCTGATGATGATGATTCACTATTCGTATTCGTATTCGGCCGAATAGTTGGCCGAGCTATTCGTATTCGGCCGAATAGTAAAAATCACTATTCGGTACAGTGCTAGTTAGAAGGCACCTGCTTGGTTGGCGGGCTGGGTGTTTTTAAGCCACCTGGCAGTTTGTGAAACATGCGAGAAACTCTCATAGTTTGCAAAGTCTGAAATTTGACGTTTATGACCATCTTAATGTCAGGATGAGGGTTTGTACAAACCTGTCTCCCCGCTCCGTTCTAAAATTACATTTTCACGGGACAGTGTTGCAGAGCTCCTTTTTCCTTCTCCAAACACAGAAATAACGATGTAAAAAGGTCAGTGCCGGAACTTGACATCTATGGAGAGGTCATGTAGGTCATTTTGACATCTGTGGGGAGGTCTTGTAGGTAATTTTGACATCTGTGGGGAGGTCTTGTAGGTAATTTTGACATCTGTGGGGAGGTCTTGTAGGTCATTTTGACATCTGTGGGGAGGTCTTGTATGTAATTTTGACATACGTGAAGAGGTCTTGTAGGTAATTTTGACATACGTGGAGAGGTCTTTTAGGTAACTTTGACACCTGCGAAGAGGTTTTGTAGGTAACTTTGTCATCAGTGGAAAAGTCATTAAGGTAACTTTGACATCTATGGAGAGATCTTGTAGGTAACTTTGACATCTGTGGAAAGGTCTTGTAGGTCTTCTTCTTTCGTACACCTGAAATAAGTTGTCTATATCAGCAGTTTTGTATCTTGTATAAATTTCACTGTCGTTGTTAGTTTATTCAGTGGTCCATAGAGTTTACGTTCCACTGTTGTTCTTTCTGGCCAAAAGGTTTGCCTTAATGTGTCAAAATCGGTGCAGTCCTGGAGTACATGCTCTGCTGTCTGGGGCACATTTCCACAGGTGCACATGGCTGATACACCTATCTTGAATTTTGTGCACATGTGGTTACGTAATCGGGTCATGTAGGTAACTTTGACATCCGTGGAGAGGTCTTGTAGGTAACTTTGACATCTGTGGAGAGGTCTTGTAAGTAACTTTGACATCTGTGGAGAGGTCTTGTAGGTAACTTTGACATCTGTGGAGAGGTCTTGTAGGTAACTTTGACATCTGTGGAGAGGTCTTGTAAGTAACTTTGACATCTGTGGAGAGGTCTTGTAGGTAACTTTGACATCTGTGGAGAGGTCTTGTAGGTAACTTTGACATCTGTGGAGAGGTCTTGTAGGTAACTTTGACATCTGTGGAGAGGTCTTGTAGGTAACTTTGACATCTGTGGAGAGGTCATGTAAGTAACTTTGATATCTGTGGAGAGGTCTTGTAGATAATTTTGACATACGTGGAGAGGTTTTGTAGATGATTTTTACATACGTGGAGAGGTTTTTTAGATGATTTTTACATACGTGGAGAGGTTTTGTAGATGATTTTTACATACGTGGAGAGGTTTTGTAGATGATTTTTACATACGTGGAGAGGTTTTGTAGATGATTTTTACATACATGGAGAGGTTTTGTAGATGATTTTTACATACGTGGAGAGGTTTTGTAGATGATTTTTGCATACGTGGAGAGGTTTTGTAGATGATTTTTACATACGTGGAGAGGTTTTGTAGATGATTTTTACATACGTGGAGAGGTTTTGTAGATGATTTTTACATACGTGGAGAGGTTTTGTAAATGATTTTTACATACGTGGAGAGGTTTTGTAGATGCTTTTTACATACGTGGAGAGGTCTTGTAGATGATTTTGACATTTGTGGAGAGGTTTTGTACATGATTTTGACATCTGTGGAGAGGTTTTGTAGATGATTTTGACATTTGTGGAGAGGTTTTGTAGATGATTTTGGTATCTGTGAACAGGTTTTGTAGGTAACTTTGACATCTGTGGGAAGGTCGTGTAGGTGACTTTGACATCTGTGGAGATGTCATGTAGGTAAATTTGACATCTGTGGAGAGGTCTTGTAGGTAACTTTGACATCTTAGGAGAGGTCTTGTAGGTAACTTTGACATCTGTGGAGAGGTCTTGTAGGTAACTAGGTTATGGTTCTTCTTATTATTATTATTATCTGGTGGTAAACTCTAGCGGAAAGTCCTGGTAGTTCGTCCACTTCTGGACTTTGGTCTTGTCCTAGAACTTGAGCGTTGCGTGCACATAAGTTTTACAGACCTGACTCATTTCTATAGAGACTGTTGGTTCCTCGCCTCTCTGGCAGATGCACTCCGACTTCGAATGAAACTTCGGATAAAACAACCGCCTCTGCAACCCCCAAACCCTAGTCACCGATTCCTTCTTATAAAGTATATCTAAAATGGTATCAGGCCTAGCAATGTTTGATCAAAACGGCAGCGAGTAACCCCTCGTGTAACCTCGCACACCCTGTTACCTGTATCGGTGAGTAATCCATTCCGTTTTACTCACCCTCAAACAATGCCTGTTACACCAGACATGACTAGTGCCATCCCAAATTCCATGAGTCATCTTCTCCACCTGTACTCACTTTAATGATGCGCGGGTTTCCTACACGGCGATGACGTGTTCAACAGGTATATAAACAAGGCAATCCCTACAGTAGAAGAATAGCGCCAGAATCTTTGAAACGACAGTTAACAACTCTCGACTTCAGATCTTCGCTTTAGACAAATCATTCAGACAAATCATTCACACTGTAACCTTATTGTTCTACACTGGAAAGTTAGTCGACTGTGAAACATAGACCAATAGTTTTAGGTGGACGCTAACGCAGAAGGAGGATCATATTTGAACAGAGGTTACGTACTGCGGTGTTTTTATTCAGAAATGCCAGTGTGTTGTGCTCCAGCTTGTATTCCCGCCAACTGCTCCTGCGGGCGAATTGTCATAGATCCTGACCACGAGTAAGTAGCGTGAATTCTGATAAACGGTTTTAAATTTATTGTGAAGTTACACATACGACTTCGTTGTCATTTCTCATTTCTTTATACACAGCCCGGCTGCTAAAATAACTACTGTTGCTGCTGCTGCTGCTACTACTACTACTACTACTACTACTACTACTACTACTACTACTACTACTACTACTACTACTACTACTACTACTAATACTACTACTACTACTACTGCTACTACTACTGCTACTTCTACTACTACTACCACCACCACCATTACTACCACTACTACTGCTGCTGCTGCTGCTGCTGCTGCTGTTGCTACTACTACTACTACGACTACTACTATTACTACGATAACTATGAAAACCTTTATTGATGGTCCTGCTTCTATCATCACCACTGCTTGTTCCGCCATCACTACCACTTCTGCTGCAACAGAAACTACCACTAACTATCTACACCCATGCTATCAGCCACCGCCTTCACTGCCACAAATACAAACATATGACTTCAACTACAACACCTGTTGCAGTACCTACTAGTACTATGATCTGTTTAAAAAGTCGTACCCTCATACTTTAGCAAATATCTCGAAAACTCCTTCACTGATTGTTTTCATGCAGGATTAGATTTCCCATATCCCTATGATTTAATATTCTACAACTGCACAGGTGCTGCTATTTTCTTACCCTGTCGAATTTCTTTATAGTTGGTCAAATCAATATTTTGTTTACCTCTTAAAAGAACACACAGACACAAACACACACCCACACACACCCACAAAACGGTAAGTGAAACAAAATATCTTTTTTATGAGCTAGTCAATAAGCATTATGACAGTACACGATCCACCCACTTCACTATTCAAAATATGTGCGCTCTAGGTTCTTGTAATGATTACCTCCAAAACTCGTGCAGTTTGATGTTTTGCCAACCTCACGTCAATCCATTTACTGTAAACATCCTAATTAAATGCATTAAATCGATGTCTGTTTTTTTTTCATATACTATAAATAAGGCAAAACAAAAACTGGATGTTTGTTTACATTATAATTATTTTCATTAAAGGACATGGTTAATAACAGATTGTTTGCCAAATTTCAACAATTAGAACCTGATGGCTACTTAGTTACATTTTTTAAAGATGGGCACGATTTTTGGAACGGACTATAAGACTAATGCTGTTGTTGCTCTTACTGCAGCTGTGGGAAGAATCTCTGTAAATGTACCCCAACAACCTTAAAAACGAATATTAAAAAGTTGATAAGTAATAAAGACTGATTTCATAATATTTCATTTGCTCTTTTGCAGAGATGAAGCCGTGGCCATATTCAGCAAGTACCAGTCCGGCTTCGCCAGGCGCATCAAGAAGGCAGAAGCAATCAACATGCTAGTGGCAGAGTTCAACCTTAACGAAATCGACGCTCTCTTCATCTTCCAGTCGTTTGACAAGGACGACAATGGAGTCTTCAGTTTATGGGAGTTCAGACAGTTCTACCAGACAATTGGTTCCAAGTAAGTGTTGACCCGACCTTGGTCTTGTGTTTACATCGAATGAACCCTAACCCTGAGTGGGAAAAAACAACAACTAAATGTCAGTTACACTCTGATACCGGTGTAGGCAGTGAGGCTTTGAGCCTGAAGTTTAGGGTGCGTGGTTAGTGCTGTTGCCACAAACACTGCGGACTCGAATGAATGTATATTTGTTCCCGGCAGAAGAAGAAAACAAATGCCCAATCTTACCCAGAATTCCAACCTCGTTCTCGCACACGGGAGCCTATCATTCTTTGACCCAAAATTCGTGTCCAGCTGTTGCTCCATGCTGCATACGTAACAACACCATTGTCACTAGTTAAAAGGATGCCTGTTTGGATAACAAGTTTTGCTTTATTGATGGCGTTTTTGTTTTAAACATTTTAACCATGTATAACTCAGGCAGAGAGAGAGTGTGTGTGTGTGTGTGTGTGTGTGTGTGTGAGAGAGAGAGAGAGAGAAAGAGAGAGAGAGAGAAAACTAACGAACGAACTTTATTTTTAAAGGGTCGAAAATTAGGCACGCAGGCCTGTCTTACATTGGGCCCTTCCAATCACCCGTCTTGTGCCAACCGGCACTAGGTGGATAATCGGATAGCATTATGCCAGCCGTCTTTACTTCCCCAGGACAGCCATCCTGGTACTTATTTTTGGCTGGGTCGACCTGCGACGCCCCATACCATGATAAAAATCCACGACGCCAGCAGGGGGTTTCGATCGCGGTACGTTGGAATTACGAGTCGGACTCGTAACGCCTGAGCCACGGACGCCACTACGACTACTTAGCTACAAAGAATCTCATTCTCTTTAATATAAATTTCGTCAACTTTCTTTTATTGCTCGTCATTTTCATTGTCAAAGTTAGCAAATTTCTTAGGGCTGACTGTAACCCTTCCTAAACAGTTCATTTAAAATGTGTGTGTTGTGTACCGTTCTTCCACGTCTGCATTGGCACTAAAACAAACCTTCACCTACCATTAAAAATGTAATTATCATAAAGCTGTATCTCGTCTGTCATTCGCAGTGCTCGAGACATGATTGACCTGTTTCGGAGGCTGGAGGAGGGCTCCACGGGAACCGTGAATATCGAGAAGACTTTCGATGCCCTCAGGAACATTGACACTCCCAAAGGAAAGCTGAATGACGAGGAAATCGAGATGCTACTGAAAGTGACCGCGGGAGAGTCCAAGACCATCGACCTGCAGAAGTTTCTCAATTTGATGAGCAGGCTGAGAGTCTACAAAGGACCTGAGTAATGCAGTCTATGGGGGGTGTAGGAGGGGGGTGTAGAGGGACTGTGTACATCGCAAGATGAGTGGCTGAATATCTGTGGTAGTATCATTTACTGAGACAGGGGAACTTCTGGTGCGAGGCGTGCACGAGCACATCGTATGTTAAACTGTACGCTCCAGGAGATGATCAATAATATGGGGGTGGGTGGGGAACCTTGGGGTGGGGGAAGGGGGCCGGCGATGTTTGATTGAATCTAAGTTTATGTATGCTTGTGGAGGAAGACGCGCCACTTGAGGTGACGTATTTGATAGCAGCCACTCGGGCAGGGTGGGCTTATCTAGCCGGCTTGATTTGTGAAGGCATATATTTGAGCTGGTAAACATATGAGAACATCAGCATCCTGTCTGCGTTCCAGGTTAACTTACAACATAACGTTTCGGGGGAACCACCCCTCCCTCAAGAATGCTGGGAGGATTAGATAAGCTGGGAGTGCTCACGTTTGGAATGTGTAGTAAATAACCTCGCGAAAAATATGTGCGCACTTGTGGGTAGCGAGGATGGGATGACATATAGTATTGGTTTATATATATATATATATATATATATATATATATATATATATATATATATATATGTGTGTGTGTGTGTGTGTGCATGTATGTATGTGTATATACTCATGTAGGTTTAAGTTAAACATGCGTGTGTGTGTGTGAGGCGCGGGGTTCGATACAGTTGAGAAAATAACAAGATAACTAGAGACTGAACACACATGGAGAATAAGGAATTGAGGTAGAAACTGTGTGAGCGCGCGCGTGCGTGTGTGTGTATGTATCTTTGTATGTATGTGTGAGATAACTAGCGATGAAAAACAGAGACAGAAGATTAGCTACGCAAAGAGACTAGAGAAGGGAACGCGCTATGAGAAAGAAAGAAAGAAAGAAAGAAAGAAAGAAAGAAAGAAAGAAAGAAAGAAAGAAAGAAAGAAAGAAAGAAAGAAAGAAAGAAAGAAAGAAAGAAAGAAAGAAAGAAAGAAAGAAAGAAAGAAAGAAAGAAAGAAAGAAGCAAGAGAAATGCTTTCCACTAAAGCTGTTGATATGATTTCGATGGAATGAACCCGAAAACACGTGACTGATATATTAGTACGGTGGAAGATAATGCCATGTATACTGTTTTCGGTCTCCCCGAGGGGACACATTCGACAAACCAGACCTCAGTAATATCTTTGCTGTGTACAATGTTTTTTTTCACTATATTGCTGTTTGATATTTGTATTACCATCACATTCCCTGTTTTATGCTACGTATCTTTGTACTGTTTTATTTCTTGCTTAACAATTTTTACAGAATTGTTTCACATTTCCCCAATGTTACCCAGAATTGTTTCACATCTTCCCACTGTTACCCAGAATTATTTTACATTTCCCACTGTTATACCGGGGCTAAGGCGTTGCGAGTCTGACTCGTAATCCAACGTACCGCGATCGAAACCCACTGCGGTCTGCGTGGATTTGTATCGTGGTATGGGACGTCGCAGGTCGACCCAGCCTCAAATGGGTACCAGGATGGGCTGTCCAGGGAAAGTAAAGACGGCCGGCGTAGTGCTGACCACATTACCCACCGAGTGCCGATTGGTCTGTTAAAATATGGGTTCTCTTCCCATATGCCCGATGCACCCAAGGGCGTGTAAAGGGGTCTTTACTTTTCTTTTCTTTACTTACTGTTACACCGGGGGTTAGAAACCAACAAGGGAGCCACCATTGTAAGCGGTTAGACGCCCCGCCTCCAGTCCGAAGGTTGTGGTTTCAAGTCAGCATTGACATTTCATAGATTATTTTTTTTCTTTGTCAATCGCCACCTTAGATCTAAGTCTGACCCAGCCTTAAAATGGCTCCTAAGTAAAGGACTGGGAAGTAAAGCGGCTAGCGTGACACAGGAACACACACACACACACACACACACACACACACACACACACACATACTGTCTATTTAAATCATATTCTATTATGTTCACTTTTCTTATGAACATTTCGGCTATCAAAATCTAACAAACTGTTTTGTTGTCTTGGCAGTAAATCTGCCGTTAGCTGACTACACAATAGACTCGCTACTAATCACTCTCGCAATCTTTCACATACAAGTCGACGAAATCTTCAAGCTAAAGTCTAAACAATTATAAATGCGAGTCTGAAAAGACCTGACCAATAGACGTACCGATCGCTAATTTCTGAAGACTTTCTCTGTACTGTTTAGGAAATCCAGAAATGGTTAGATCTGTTGGGTGCTTAAACAAATTGATATTGACTTGTTTATCTTGACATGTCGACCTGTCTGCAATTAAATATTGACTATAATAATATCGTGTGGTTTTTAAATTTATTCTGTGATGACAAAACAATCTATGTATCTGCTTTCACCTTCATTTATTCCTCTCTTCCCTGTTCAATTAAATTTTGTTTCTTTCTCAACCCCATCGGCACGCACATGCGGGCACATTCATTTTCAGATCTGACCTATTTGTATGCAGACTGTTGATTTCTCGCCTCTCAGCAAGGGTGATCGTCAGTGTATTTCCAGTCGTATCTCATTTCGACAATAATTATCGGTATCTGTTTGAAGCTGGTTCGTCCAAAACACCAAGGTGACGGGACGTAACACAAATATTTACTTGTAAGGGGTTTTAAACAAACCACAACAGAGCTAGAAGCGAACGTGCTAAACACTGAACTATCTGGCTCTCCCTTGTGATCTGTGTTGTTCTGAATGCAATTATCAAAAATATATACCGTATTGTCACAACAATTTTCTCAATACTCAGTCCCGTATGGCTCAGGTGGGTGGGCCACAGACTGACTGACTGACTTTCTACCCCACCAGGACATCACACAAGCGATAAACACCCGATGACACAAAGTGCCACCATGCGGATGAGGATCGCCGTGGAGAGGTCCCAGAAACCGCGTTCAGACATTTGGCCATATGTATGGCCTGCCTATATTGCGGCCCCTGGCAAAAGCCAGAGTAGGGCTCCAAATAACAAAAAATTTCGTCCTAAAAAGGACGAAATTGGGTTAGATAGTTGGGTGGGCCACACTTGGAGATTGGAGGATAGCAGAGTCCCTAAGGACATCCTCTTTGGTTAATCACAGATGAATAGAAGACGTCCAGGTCGTCCTCTGCTATAAAGATGTTTGCACCAGGACATAAATAATACAGGTATTGAGGTAAATTCGTGAGCGGAAAAATACCATTGACCGTGTTGGATGCAGGTGGAAAATCATGAAGGGAATGGGACGAAAGCAAAACATGGTTGCAGAAATATTGAGAGCTCAGCGTCTGAAAATGAATACATTCAACGCATGGGATGGCAACAATGATCCTGAAATCTCATGCTGTAGTTGTGAAGACTTTTCCGAACTCGGGCCGGTCATGTCTGCATGAAACACAGTATGATATTAAAATCTTGAAGGACGGAAAAGAATCTATATAGTAGAATTGAATTATGAAAGGGAGAGAACTATAAATGTTTCATACAAATCAGTTAAAAACTCGAGTTATCTCCTATACAAATATTTACAATTTTTTGTTTGGAAACTTTAAACTTGCGTCAAATCTTCACTTGAGAAAGATATAGACATAGGTGAGTGCGATTTGTTAGTCACTATGTTCTGGCTTCAAACTTCAATAACAGCAATCAGTAGTGGGTTTAGGCATAAGCTAAGCTACAACTTAGGGCTTCACAGTTTGTAAGGACCTCAATAATTCCTGTTTTATCACAAACACAATTTTCTTCTAATATATAAATGACAAATTTAAAAATTAAAAAATTTACAAAACATTTTCAAGTTATATTTTATTGTGGGTGTAATGTCTCAGCCTCTGAGTGTTCTAACTTGCTGTATGCTATTGACCGCACATCCAGACGCCGTAGACATGCCGCAAATAAGCCTTTACAGACCTCTTAATAGAAATGTCGAGTGTTTATAACATACCAGGGTGCTTTATTAATGTCCTACCCCAGGACAATCCAACATTTTAGAGGCTGATAAGACTGGGTTTTCCGGCTTCCTGTTGCTTTAACCGACACCAAAAAAAAACCTATCAAGAGCTGGCCCTAACCCTAACCCACCTGCGTCCCACAAGAGAGTGGAGCCCCTTGAAATATTAAACTGTCCGGTTACCTGTGGAACACCCATGTTTGGGGTAGGATATTAATAAAGCACCTATACCAGTCATCTATCCTGGTATCACTCAACCATATCGCACGTTTCCACCTTTTTCTGCGAAAGGCCTCGGAAACATGACTAGCTGACTGGGTCCATCTGTCACTGTTTACAGGAACTACTGTTTCTGTTTTGGTCTCGCAGCGCAATTCGAAGAAAATTATATTTTCCTAAAATTAACGTTTTAGAAACTGAACACACGCGTAGATACGGTACACATATCAATGTTTGAGTCCACTTTTATGTGGCGTTGGTGGTCATGTCTATCCACAACCTTCTGTTTCGGGTAATCTTAGTCAGCTCTGATACAGATGATCTCCATGATGTCAAACTGTCAAGCATCTGTTATATCGGTCTCCCTCTGCCTCTCATCCCCACAAACTGTCCTACTGTCACGATGTACTCCAGTTTTCTCCTTCTCATGACATGATCAACGAATGTAGATTGTCTCTTTCTCATGTGGCCAATCAGTTCTCTTCGTGAGTCAGTTTATTTGAAAACGACTTCATTATTCTTATTCTTTTTAAGAAGAAGGAAGACATGCACCAGTGACGACAGGACGAGCGGTTTGATTCGGATGGAAGCATTAAGCCAGAAATGGCACAAACACCAGTATTCAGTCACGAAAGTGACGCAAATAGCCCAGACCACAAATATAGGCGGAGACTGTTAGCAGCCTAGGCTAGCTAGCAGCAGTCTGAACGTGGTCGAGCTTTTCTTTTTTTTTCCTCAAAAGGACTTGGACATTATTCTTTTTATCTGTCCAGGGTATTTTCATCAATCATCTATAAAACCATATCTCCGCAGCTTCCAAATAAGTTTTCACTAATTTACTAACTGTCCATGATTCACATTGGTGTATCAATCAATATAGGATTTATAAAGCTTTTAAGAATTCTCTTTCTTGTTAGTTCCTACACCATTGAGTATTTCAGGTAACCGATGGGCAGAAGAGTCACATAGTCAGAGGGATATAAGCAGAAGGAAAACATAAGGAGAAGTGACTTAGAGAGGAAACAAACAAGATGAAAGGACAAAGCGTGAAGTGCACACAGCTGTGAGAGACTGAATGACCTGGGAGTTTATGTGAGTTGATGGAGAGCTTATGCCTCATTGATGATGAAAACAGGGTGGGGGCAAGGACACCAGAAGGAAGAGGAGGAGGAGGAGGAGGAGGAGAAGGTTTAGGTTACTTAGGAGTCGGACCACCAACAGAAGTGATGGTTTCACTGCAGCCCAGCATCTGTTCGTTACTTGGAAGTCGGCTCGCTAACAGAAGTGAGGGTTTTACTAGAAGAGCTCAACTTGCTTGAAATAGTTTGTGGTTGTGTTTCCTGTTCGCGTTTCTGACACCGACACAGCTTAAAAACTTGGTCCCGGAAACGTTTAGCGGCAAGGAAATACAAGAAAAAATTCAGCACATGCGTAGCGTCCATTAAAAGATGTTGCAGTTGATTGAAAAGAGCCCAGTAGGCGCCAGACTGGGACAAGCAGTCTCCATGGTAGTCTGAGGGCGATAGAAAATAGTAGAAACAGGTCGGTATGGTTAGCATTAGAAAGAGAACTGCGGCTGTAATCACAATGATCGTTATGGCCATTTCTGCTCTTTCCGTTTCAGCAACCAGTCGTTCGTTGTTGATGTTCACAGATGTATTTCCAGATTCTCTTGCGCTTACGCTTTGCATCAGGACGCGGCGGGTGATACGGGAGCGGTACAACCCTCTTGCAACACCGGCAGTGAGCACTAAAATAATCAGAAACGGGATGAAGAAAACAATGGCCGCATTAAGGAAGTACCAGTAATTGCGGATAAAGTGGTCATATTCAAAAATTATTCCACATTTATTTTCATGTGTCGTTGTTGTAATACCAAAGATAACTGAGTAAAGTACAAGGAAAAATACCGATAAAACACCCACACAGACGTAGCTTCTGGTTTTGGTGACCAGTGAGAGCTTCTTTAGGGGGTAGCACACAGATATAAACCGCTCGATGCAGATCAACACCAGCATCCAGTTAGCCAGTGTTACCAGGTACGGGACGATTAACTCCATTTTGCAGCCTATTTCTAATATTGGAATCTGGAACTTGTAAAGTTGATGGTATATGAGTCTCACAATCAAGGTTGATCCGTCGAAGAAGGCCAACATGACGATAAAGAATGTGGCTGGACTCAATGTTTGCATTGATGCAGTGGTGACGATGGTCAGAATGTTACCAGGGACACCAATGGCAACAAATACCAAAATATAGTAGGTATTGATGTCTTCTGCAAGGTCGCAGATGCTTCTGGAAGAAAAAGATGTATAAATATTATAAACACTATTGTATTATGTAACGCTGTACTATAATATAGAATACTATACTACACCTTGTACTGCAAGAATAAGTGACAATGACTGCTGCAAATCGCGAAGAAAGTAAACTGTTTTACACAACTACGAACATGAGACAAACACAGTTCTTTGGTCATGTGATAAAAACAGGAGCACTGGAAAATATCGTGAGACTAAGATCAGTGGTAGAAGAGGCAGAGGGAGACTAAGAGAAACGATGGTTGATGGCTTAAGACAGTGGCATGGAGGAATATCTTCAGTGGAATTGATCCAGAACACCAACGATCGAGATCTGTAGAGATGCATCAACGCCTACGCCAGTTGGCAAAAAACATAATGATGATGATGATGATGACGATGATACTAAATCACACTATGCTATATTGTACTACGCTGTACTATACGTTACTGTAGTATATTGCATTTTATATACTATATGCTGTGTATTATTCAGGGTTGCCATTTATCCGCATTCGTGCGGACACGCAGATATTACCTAAAAAAAAGACGCCTCAGAAAATATCGCAATAATGACAATACTGGCTTTTTTACATTACGTTATTTTTATTGTGTTAACTGTACGAACGAACGAACGAACGAACGAACGAACGAACTTTATTTTCAAAGGGTTACAAATTAGGCACGCAGGCCTGTCTTACATTCGGCCCTTCCAAACTTCCATCTTTCACACAGCAGTTATATTCATGAAGCATGTTGAGGTTTCAGCGATTTAATTTGCTTAATATATTGTCTACTTCTGTGTTTGCTTGCACTCAGATACCGTTTTTTTTTTTTTTTTGAGTGTTCCAAAGCTACAATAATACAGCGCGTGACTGAAATAAATGAAACAACGACCGTGGAGAATGGAGTCAGTTATTAACAAATGGGACGAAAAAAGTTGACCAGTTAAAAACAAATGCAGTAAAAGTCCCCGTACATGCCACTGGCGCGTGATACATATAGGGCAAGAGTCATATTTATAAAGACCAAGATATCACTACAACCGCCTTTACTTCTCTGGACTGTACCTGGTATCCATTGACAGTTGAGTCAGCCTGGGAGTCAAGATCATATATGGAAAAAAAAAAAAAATAAGGCTCTTTGCGGATTTGAACCAACGATCTTCGTTTCCACAGGTGAGCGTGCAGTTTTATACCATGGCGGTTTCTTAAGGAAGTTAAGTAATGCATACTCAATCAAGAAACGACTGGTGAATTGCGAGGTGTTTTATGAGTGAACAAGCAGCATTGTCTTAACTACACCAGCCACCAAGTCAAGCGTCGCGGTCTCGTCTGGTCTCTCAATAGGGTTTATCTGGGGAAGATGGTCCTACAGAAGGTAGGGGTAGAAGCGGGAAGCAAGGAATGCTGGCCAGTCAACACTTGTACAGTCAAATGTGTGCTAATGATAGCTTGCTTGTCTCTTCTTTTTCTTTCTTTCTGTCTTCTTGCCAGTACCTTTCAGATGAGGAAGGCACAGTTTTCTATAAAGTCTGTGGTGCCACGCATGTCTTCCTCTGTTTCATACAGCGTTGTTTCCAGTTTACTGTCAAACCTGGGATCTCTCTACTGTTTCATACAGCGTTGTTTCCAGTGGACTGTCAAACTTGGGATCTCTCTACTGTTTCATACAGCGTTGTATCCAGTTTACTGTCAAACCTGGGATCTCTCTACTGTTTCATACATCGTTGTTTCCAGTGGACTGTCAAACCTGGGATCTCTCTACTGTTTCATACATCGTTGTTTCCAGTGGACTGTCAAACCTGGGATCTCTCTACTGTTTCATACATCGTTGTTTCCAGTCGACTGCCAAACTTGGGATCTCTCTACTGTTTCATTCAGCGTTGTTTCCAGTGGACTGTCAAACTTGGGATCTCTCTACTGTTTCATACATCGTTGTTTCCAGTGGACTGTCAAACTTGGGATCTCTCTACTGTTTCATACATCGTTGTTTCCAGTGGACTGTCAAACTTGGGATCCTGGTTTCATCTCTTCGACTACTGGGATTCTCTATTCATTCAGCGTTCTTTCCAGTCGACTGCCAAACCTGGAATCTCTGTACTGCATGTAAAATTTCATACATCGTTTTCAGTTTCCAGTGGACTGTCCACATAGGCAAAGTTCTGATCTCTCTAACCTGTTTTGTAGAAATCGTTGTTTGTTGTGTCAGTGCCTGCCTAAAAGGTCAAATTTTGAAGATCTCTTTACTAAAATTAAAAAAAAAAAATTTAAAAATTAAGAAAAACAACTATTTAAAACTTAAAAGCAGATATTTACTAAATAGAATATACTCTAAAACTAATTGTCGTCTTTAAGACAATGTGAACTCTGGCACTGCAAGACAATGTGAACTCTGGCACTGCAAGACAATGTGAACTCTGGCACTGCAAAACAATGTGAATTCTGGCACTGCAAAACAATGTGAACTCTGGCAGAGTAAAACAATGTGAACTCTGGCACTGCAAGACAATGTGAACTCTGGTACTGCAAGACAATGTAAACTCTAGCATAGCTTAACAAGTGCCAGAAGCAGCTGTAGAATTTGTGTACATAAATCGCTCCACACAACCAGGTTATGCCGTGGTATAGCAGCTGTAGAATTTGTGTACATAAATCGCTCCACACAACCAGGTTATGCCGTGGTATAGCATCTGTAGAATTTGTGTACATAAATCGCTCCACACAACCAGGTTATGCCGTGGTATAGCAGCTGTAGAATTTGTGTACATAAATCGCTCCACACAACCAGGTTATGCCGTGGTATAGCATCTGTAGAATTTGTGTACATAAATCGCTCCACACAACCAGGTTATGCATAGCAGCTGTAGAATTTGTGTACATAAATTGCTCCACACAACCAGGTTATGCCGTGGTATAGCAGCTGTAGAATTTGTGTACATAAATCGCTCCACACAACCAGGTTATGCCGTGGTATAGCAGCTGTAGAATTTGTGTACATAAATCGCTCCACACAACCAGGTTATGCCGTGGTATAGCAGCTGTAGAATTTGTGTACATAAATCGCTCCACACAACCAGGTTATGCCGTGGTATAGCAGCTGTAGAATTTGTGTACATAAATCGCTCCACACAACTAGGTTATGCCGTGGTATAGCAGCTGTAGAATTTGTGTACATAAATCGCTCCACACAACCAGGTTATGCCGTGGTATAGCAGCTGTAGAATTTGTGTACATAAATCGCTCCACACAACCAGGTTATGCCGTGGTATAGCAGCTGTAGAATTTGTGTACATAAATCGCTCCACACAACCAGGTTATGCCGTGGTATAGCAGCTGTAGAATTTGTGTACATAAATCGCTCCACACAACCAGGTTATGCCGTGGTATAGCAGCTGTAGAATTTGTGTACATAAATCGCTCCACACAACCAGGTTATGCCGTGTATAGCAGCTAGACGGTCACCTGCGGATCTGAAGATCGAGGTTTAAATCCCCAAAGGAAGCCAGACATAAAAAAAAAAAAGACCTAGGGTGACAAAAGTGAAGTACCAAAACCGCAAATTGAGCGACCAACAACCGTCGACACAAAGTACCACCTTTCGGATAAGGATCTCACAGGCACACGTCTCATGAACCGTGTTTAACCGTTATTTTATAATAAGGCCTCCTACAAAAGACGGGATGAGGCTTTACAAAAAAAAAAAAAAAAAGTTGCACCGCATATTAGGGGAGTATTTAAAAACTTAGGCTTCCAGGTGGAGGTAGCCTTCAATAGGTAACAGGAGCACCGAGCGCTGGTCAGTCACAACAATAAACAACATAGACAGCTTCCGATCTCAGAGACATTTCATTCACTGTCACAATAAACAACATAGACAGCTTCTGATCTCAGAGACATTTCATTCACTGTCACAATAAACAATATAGACAGCTTTATATCTCAGGGACATTTCATTCACTGTCACAACAATAAACAATATAGACAGCTTTATATCTCAGGGACATTTCATTCACTGTCACAACAATAAACAATATAGACAGCTTTATATCTCAGGGACAATTCATTCACTGTCACAACAATAAACATAGACAGCTTCCGATCTCAGGGACATTTCATTCACTGTCACAACAATAAACATAGACAACTTCCGATCTCAGGGACAATACATTCACTGTCACAACAATAAACATAGACAGCTTCCGATCTCAGGGACATTTCATTCACTGTCACAACAATAAACATAGACAACTTCCGATCTCAGTGACAATTTATTCACTGTCACAACAATAAACATAGACAGCTTCCGATCTCAGGGACATTTCATTCACTGTCACAACAATAAACAATATATAGACAGCTTTATATCTCAGGGACATTTCATTCACTGTCACAACAATAAACAACAAAGACAGCTTCCGATCTCAGAGACATTTCATTCACTGTCACAATAAACAACATAGACAGCTTCCGATCTCAGGGACATTTCATTCACTGTCACAACAATAAACAACATAGACAGCTTCCGATCTCAGAGACATTTCATTCACTGTCACAATAAACAACATAGACAGCTTCCGATCTCAGGGACATTTCATTCACAGTCACAACAATAAACAACATAGACAACTTCCGATCTCAGGGACAATTCATTCACAGTCACAACATTAAACAATATAGATAACTTCAGATCTCAGGGACATTTCATTTAATGTCACAACAGTCAACTCTTCTAATGTTTACAATAAAAACCTTGCAGATAATTCCCTTGGGGTATAAAATGGTAAGCCTTCACATCTGGAATCATCGATTATGAAATGGGGACAAGTCCCTTTTCTCATTGTCTTTCCTTTCATAACAATTCCCTGACAAGTCTGAAAAGGATCTGCTGTA